TTTACGTAAAGTTGTGTGAACACTGTGTTAGGGTAGGGGAGCTAAATTGAGATCTGTTGTAAGCAAAAATACGGTTTGAGGACGTTTGTAGGCAAATATGCAGCCGGACTCACAGGCGCTAAAACGGCCTGTGGGCCGAGAAAACAGATATTTTCTATTTATGCATGTTTTTAGGCCGGGAGGCTTGTGCACTCGCCACGGCAAATTGACTAATGAGGGCCCCACCCAAGAATCGGAGCCCTTTTTACGACAACGCTATGTGTAACTACACAATAAAATCACTGGCTACGTAGGTAAAACCCCACAGCCAAGGTTTTATTCAAATGAGTGGCTTGTGCAGCCGCAAATTCCACCAGAGGCTCACTATCGATTTTTTTCCTCGCAGGGCTCAAGTCATCTCATGACCCGGACCTTATGGTTCTCTTCATGTTTGTATATGTGTCTATGTGCGATAAGCAGCCGCCTCTGCTCCTTATGCGTGGTGTGCTAGCTTGCGTTGAGGTTAACATTGCCGTTCCGAATGGAGATAAGCTTTGTGTTTAGCGCTGCACTTAAATTCATGTTTGGATCGTAACGAGGTGAACTTTGCTGTTCCATTTGGAGGTTAAGCTTAGTGTTCAATACTACTACCACTGTATACTAACTAGCTATTGAGACTAAACACGTAATACACCCTGTATTAGCTCCCTATCCCTTATCGTTTCTTATGCCTCGGTGTTATTCAGCGTGCTGTCCTCCACAGCCTCGTCTTCAATGAAGGTCTTGCGAACAAGTAGGCGGCGCTCCTTTTCAAAGGCAGCGACTACGGTGCGGTTTAAATGTTTGCGCGGCTCCCACGTTGGCTCCCACTCCACCAGGTAGTACGTTCTGCGGTTTTCGCGCTTCCAGTTCAGCAGTTTGCGAACGTAGTGCTGCTTCTCGCCGTCAAGCTTCTCTTCCGCGTTTTGATCGGCCTCATTATCAGACAGATCATCGTCAGCAGAGGGGGGTACAAGCCACGCTCGAACGTCGTCGAGACCGAAACGCCGCTTCTTTTGCTTGGCCAAGGATGAGATGACGACGTCGATGGCTTCAGGAAGTAGCGCCGGCGAGGCGATGGTCGTATTCATGGTAAGGCGTAGATGACGGATGGCTTCGTCACTAACCCGAATCTTGTTAAGCTTGGATGCAGAAACACACAGCTTCTTGAACTCTCTGGTCGAGCTGATAGCGTTCTTGACAGGCTTGATGGATGGCATGATACGGGTGGAGGAAGAAAGAAAAATGAGCGACAGGATTAAAGGATTAAGCCGACAAATGCGATCAATGGACGGAGTGACGCTTGTACGTAATTACGTGGTCGAAACCACATCTAAGATGTTTGTTGTGTGAGGTGGAGCAGGGTCTTGTATGCAGCCTCCAGCTTGAAGGCGCCTATAGCGGTTTATGTGATCGTTGAGGTGGCCGCTCTTGTGGAGTTTGCGCATTGTCTTCAGCACGTTTTGGGCCCCGCGAGCTGTGATGCCCCGCTCGCGAAGGTATGTTAACAGCGCTTCCTCTGCTCTGGTTTCTTGCCTCATAACCTCGTCTCTGTATTGTGGTAACTTCTCATTCAGTACAAAGCCGTCCGGAAGAAATAGTTTCATGAAGGCGACAATCTACTTGTTGGTTGAGCGCATATGCTTGCTTGAAGCGTCCGTCGAGCACCACAGACGAGGTTTTTGTGCGTACCAAGTAAACCACGCATCTTTCAGTCCGACAGCATCAGAGGTACGGCGTCGCTTGACCGGTGATGTGTTTGTATCCGCATCTTGACTAATCTCGATTGACGTTCTTTTCTTTTCTTGCTTGTTGTAAGCCTTAGCCTCCATTACCGACAGACGCATGTCGAGCTTCTGATTTACTTGAATTAACTGCTCAATCAATGATGCTTGGTGAAGATACATGGGGTGTTTGGTGAAATCGGTTGACGTTTCTTGAACAGCAGCGCTTTGCTTTACGTCAGATAATCGTGGATCTCGAGCCAGGTACGATGACCACGAGAGCAAGTCATTGCATGAGAACCCTTTGGCTCTGGTACAAGCTTCGATGCGCTGGATCACCGGGCTATCCGACGCTTGTGTCTTAAGCAGAGGATAGTGTTTCAACAGGTACGCCATCAGTTTGTCGCGTACACGGTCATTGATATTGTGTTGTGACGTCTCCAGACCACACGAGACGACAAAGAGTGCTGAGGCGACAGATTGAATCTTCAGCTGTGTGTCGGAATCGAAGATGTCCAGCGAAAGCAGATGAACTGGCGTCTCAGGGTCATGACTACTCAATACTCGAGCGACTTTGTGGTCTTCTGACGGGGTGTTGAAGACGTAAGCAAAGACTTTGTTTGTCGCCGTCATATTCCACGCTCCTCTGTCGAAGATCCACTGCACACACATTCCAGCACCGTTGGCATGCTGAGCGCCCTCGCGTCTGAAGGAATGCGACGTCAAGCGCTCAGTGACACCTGCCTTCTTAGCTACTCTCTCCAAAACGCGATTGACGTAGCTGTGGATTCCAGATGCTGCTTCGGTCGCTTTGGTCTCACTGTCAGTGTTTTTCATGGATTCAGCTCCCGCGACGTCTTCTGGGTGATCGATCAGGTCAATCAGCGGGGCCGACGGTGTCAACGATGTATGCGCGCGCGCTTGTTGTTCTGGAAGCTGGTTCAAGAGTGATACACTGGGAGAAGCCTGTGTAATAAGTGGCAATGCAATAGCAAGAAGCGGACACGTGACAAAGTCGTCGTCCGGACACAGCGAAAGACCCTGTTCTTCAGACGTCTTGACACGAATGAATCGGACAAAGAAAATGTCCCCCGAGCCAACAGATAGGTTTGTCCTGTGAAGAAGAGTGAGATCTGACGCTCGTCCGAGCAGATACCAGAGGAAACAGAGCAGAGCAGCATCCTGGTAGTCCGCAGAGGTAACCGCTGTCGAATACAGATAAACGAGCATCTTCTTCAACGCTTGCTTGGTACACGCCGGCGCTTTGTTGACGAAAACCCCTGATTCTCTCTTCATGCAATAACGTTCCAAAACTTGTCCTTTCATAAGTAGAGTCTTCTCAAGAGCTGCTCGATGCTGGGGGAACTTCTCCAAAAGCCAATTCTTGGCCTGACGATAGTACTGCATCACTGAATGGCGTGCCAAGAGCTGACCTTTGCGCCCTTCCTTAAAGGCTAGATGCATGCCAAACTTGTCGACCACCGTTGTTAGGATTAGCGCTGCATTCTCGCGCTGCATGCTCGCTTCCAGATAATCCCACGTGATGTCTTCATCCTCTACAAACTTCTTGAGCGACCGTGCTGCAGACTCGCGAGCTCGCTTCGTGTTGGTAGGTGCGAGGTCTTTTAAACTCATTCTTGGCGGTCGGAAGTGTCGGAGCCTGCAGGTTATTTACGAAATATGCAAATGACTTGCAATTAGTAGGGGGATATTTATATCTTTGGTGGTCCCTCCGACTTGATACGTCGGCGGCGTGGTTCTCTTGCCATCACGTACTCTCGCCGTCAATAATTGGCCTAAAATCGGACTGATACATGATTTGATTCGTCTAAACGACATTTTAACTCGTATCTCTACTTTTATTGGATAATATTATTAATAGTAAAACAAGTATGGTCGTAGATTTAATGATATTCATCCATATAACGGCAACTTTTGCAAATCATTTGACTCTATTATGCCCAATTGCGGCTTAGAAGTTTTATGGTAGAGGTCTATCCGGACCTCTACGAAGGGCAAATCCGCCCAGTAGCTAAATATTTAACGAACCAGTAGAAATAGTTGTCGTCTTCCTCAAGCACTTCCGCTGTGCAAGGTGCTATGTGACCTTGTCACACCTGCTGAGCAGCTTTGCAATCTTAGAGACATGTTGCACGAATGCTGTATGATCTCAAAACGGAGCCAGCCTAACACAGTTCTTCAAACTGTGAATTAGCTGAAACCATCGCAATAGAAATTTGGAAACACATGACTTTTCAAATTTGAAGATTTTTGCTCGATTCACTCAAGTTTATGATTGTGCACGGCGTCTACCTTCTTAATACGCTCATCATGTTGTCAACTGTGACAGCCTAGAACAACTACACCGCTAACTCTAATAAGTTATTCCATGACTAATTATGGTTTTTGGTTGGAGCACAGAATTTTGATAATTTAGTCTTCCGTTTTGTTAGAACTGCCCGTTCATTTTTCAAACCAAGCTTACTAGAATAAAGCAATTGCCGAGGCCTGGTGTTTTGCTTAGAATTGATGTGTTTTGCAAATACCCCAAATTTGTGACGTCACTAAATCGCACGTCTTTGTTACGCGATAGGTCCAAAATTTTATGGCTGCTGATTGGCTCCTCGCCATTATTTAAGTATGTCCTGTAAAAGCTCTGTGAGAACCACCATAATCGTACAATTCACATGCATGCATCTGTTGGTAACTAATACTACACGCTACGTGCACAGTACGTTGTACAGCCGTACAAGGCTAAATGATAATCTCAGCTGTGTGCAACCTACTCAACGAAGGCAAAAATGGAACTAATCCTTGATTACTGTGTCACAGGTTTACGGTGTCACGCGTCATAGTTGGACATGATCGACCGCGACATAACTCAATTTTCTAGCAGAATGGCAAGCCGATACGAGACTCCTGGACTTCGCTTCCACCACTTCGAGCAAGCAAGAGCAAGACTTAGCGACAACTTGGTTGGCCTTGTAGCTCCGCGCGCTCAAGGAACCGATCGAGACTCTAGCAATGTAATGTTCTCACAGCTGCTGTAACAGCTGTTGGTACAGCCGCTGCGTGAACAAGAGGCTGAGATGGATTCTTCATCCACAAGACTACTGGTATCCCTACATGATGGCTGCTAGCGTTTGTTCTGATCTCACAGCTGCATGTTGACTAGTGGAGTCTCGACTCGAGACTCTCGAGCGAGCTCCACTTGCATTGATTCGTGTCTTTAGTTTTTCGATCATTCTGCACTTTGCTCAATACAACTCAGTTACTCTGACAGCGCCGTGGTCCAACATTATAAGCAAATTGACGACGCGTGGCAACAATGAGGAGACAACATCAAAGCACATATCGCTCACAGATGAGTGGTCGCAGGGTCCAAGGCAAAAAAATCTTTACGAGCATCAGACCATACACGTATCAGCATCGAACACCCGGGCGGGGCCAATGAGTCCAGGTTCAGATCAAGAAAAGGTGGGGCTGAAACGGAAGTGTATGAGGTCGGAAATTCGTCGAGAACAATGCCGAGCAAATCAAGCTCGGTACCGAAACAAGCAACGCAACCTTCAGCTGCGACTGGAGGCAAGCGTCGAAGAGCTGCGCCAAGAGCTATGTCATTTGAAGCGCAGGCGACAGGATATTGTACTCGCCGAGAAAACGGATCAAAATCCCTGGATCATCGTGGCTGAAGTATTCCGTATCCTCCAAAATAGCTTCCGCAGCCCCTGGAACCTTGAGAATGATGAGGCCATGAAAAATGACATCGAAACTCGAAAGAACCTAGATTTTGTACAGAAAACTTTCACGGCCGATGTGGCAATGGGAGACCTCAATGGAATCGACGAGCTGATCAGTCGATGGCGGCGGTACTCGCAGTACTTTGGTGATGCACGTATTTATCTCCAGCATGTGGAGTGGCTAGCTCCAGGTGTGATGACGGCTACTGCGAGACTCCATGTGACTATCTCAGAGCTCATCGTGCGCTTCGCGTTTCCGCATCTGTCGGAGATCGAACCAGTCAGTAAATATGACATAAACCCTCCGCTGCGTGAAAGACTCAAGGGGCAACACCTTGATTGTAGCATCTCGATTGATTTTCACTTTGACGCAGATAGTGGTCGTGTGACGCGATTAGAACCTCGCGTTGATGTGATGCCGGCGTTGCTTCGGATGCTTGGTGATCCCAGTGACGTGGCGGAGGTGTGCTATCCGTGAGGATGCTTGATAAGCTTAGCTCGTTAATTTGCAAGCTAGTTTTTAGTGTGTAATGTTACTATTTTGCTTGTTTAATGACGTGACCGAGCGGATCATTTTTTAGCCGCTTCACACCAGAGATAATTCATTTGTATGTTAATGCGGTAAGCTTTGAGCGTCGAAGTTCTCAACGCAGTATAGGTATCAAAACCACAGCGATGTTTATCCTAACAAAAAGTGCGAACAAGTTACGTTTTTAGCATACTAAATTATTGCTAATACATGATCGCCTGAAACGGCATGTATGAGCTGAAGTCGTAATTCATAATCTAACTTATACCTGCTCTTGAGCTTCATGATGAGGTCGACGGACCATACGACGCTTACTATAAGATGCTGTAAATCCGCACTGTAAAAATCCTGGCAAACATCGCTGGCTGCGCACCTGGCGTAATGTTGCAGGACGACTTCTTTTCATGCTCCTAAGTTGCTAAAATGACAAGCATTGCTGGTTGCGCAACTTAAGCGTAAGGTTGCAGGATGACAAACTTTTCGCGACAGTTCTTCTAGCTGCAAATTACTACAAGTGTGGTAAGTATTATAAATGCCTATTTATTATAATATAATAGCTTTAGCAAATCAATACAAATAATTATGATTGCCTGAAATATTGGACAGCCCAATCCGATCGGTCGCGGTATCTGAAGTACAATAGCTGAAGTCGGTAGCGTAGACCCTGAGGGTCGCTCCTGTCACGGTGGTTCTTAACAGCTGTCTCGCGTGTCATCCCATGGCAATGTAAATTGAGCTGTGACATGGCGTGGTTAAGAATCGAAACGCGCCATTATGCCAAGATGAAAACTATTTCTAGTGCCCGCTGGTTTCTTGCTCTCGTCGGTGCGTGTTTTGTAACGATGACGGGAAATATACCACCCCAATATTGCAACCCTAGGATGCGGGTTAGCATCCAAGACCGAGCTTCGAGGCAAGATGCTGATAAAAAAAAATCACGCTCCGCACTATACGTTCTCCTAACACTTTGCGTAGCAAACAAACATTTTGATACAATAAAATTCGACGCGTGAGTAAACAACTATAATATTTCGGGTCGGTAAAAACAGCGATTATCTTCAGATTTCAATACTCATACCATAGAATGAAAATAGACCTGAGGGTCGCTCCTGTCACGGTGTTTCTTAACCACTGCCTTGCGTGTCATCCCATGGCAATATAAATTGAGCCCTGACATGGCGTGGTTAAGAATCGAAACGCCCTGCCATTATGCCAAGATGAAAACTATTTCTAGAGCGAGGTAAAAGTGATGGCAATTGCACTTTGCAATGGGCCGTTTCATTCTCTTTAAAATCTAGCCCTATCAAACTTTTATCCAATCCGATTACAGTATTTCTTGCCGGTTTGTGCAACGGCAAGAAAAACGCACAATTTCGTCGAGATCCAGAAAGTAAACATCTTTTCGTAACCACTTACAGCATCACCGGCAAACGATTTCATTTGGAGGAGGCCAGCAGATAATGCGGCTGCGAAGCAGGCGTAGGAAATGAGTGTCAGCATTTTGTTTTTAGATCATGCATAAGGCTGAATTATAAACTACTATTCTACTTTAAAAACATATTTTGAAACAATTTGAAGAGGCCTCTGTTGATAAATCAGCAAACTCGTCCACGGTAATCACGCCGCTTCCGATGACAGGTCGTTTTAAAGCACTTGGCTGTTAGCCCGTATTTTGCATCATTTCCTATTTGTAAGAGTTATGCACTCTTACAGGTAAGGATTACCAACTGATGAGTGGTTTAAATCCTGCCATGGCAGAATCACCTAAGCCCCATTTCCAGCCTCACGTACAAACGATTGTTCTCTAAAACATAATATTTTTTCGGAGAATAAAGTGTATCCTCTGTTGTTATTTACTGCTAGAAAACAAGTTGCACTAAAAATATGACGCGAGACAGACGCGTTGCCAAGATCTGAAGCAGACTCTAACCGGTCCCGATAGCTAAACAGTTGAGTACTAAGGTACGTAATTGCAGAAACTCCCGAGATGTCGTCGGCCCCTCGCATACCTTGTCTGAGCTTTTACAAGGATCCAATACAGCGGCGTTGTCTGAAACGTGGGGAACAAGGAAAAATTATACATCCCATGTCTCATCCGGATGGTAACGCCCACAACATCTGACTCATACTAGTCACCGACATACGAAGCCAGACGGTGATTTCTACGGAAGACTAGGTGAAAAAAGATATAGTTGAATTGCTGTGAGAAGAACTATAAAATACTGATGAAAAGTCGAAGAGAGT